GAAGGAGGGTTTCTGGGGATCCTAGGTCCCTGTTAGAATGTATCCGAGAGAGGTAGGCCAAACAAGCCAGCCTGGGCATCTACCTCCCTGTCTTGCTGGCCCCAAGAATGCTTCGGGGCGTCTGTTGAACTAAAGTGTCCCGCACTTGCACTGAGTCTTGCCCAAGCTGCTTGATGGTGCCTCCAGCCACTCTAGCGCCTAAAGCTGTGCTCACCCGGTTATTGTGTTGCAAAGACTCAGGGACAGGATGTATAAGCCTTCCATATGTAATTATTCAGGGGTTTTCAAAGAATCTCCAGCTTTAGTTCCTCCCATTCACTCCAAACCCAGGAGGGAGAGACCTATTCTTCTATATTCACAGGGAAGGAGATAATTTCCCTGCTACCCTCTGCAAATCATTGTTTAAGTCAGGAGGTCTTATCCTTGTGTCTACATAACAATAACAAACGTTACTAGGTTTTTGCGACACACACTTTGTGAGAAAGGTCTACATACTTTCTTGTTACAGAAGTTCAAGAAACTGAGTTTCTGAAGGATCAAGGCAAGACACCCAGGGTAGGCAGTGCAACCAAAACCTGAGGCCAGCCTCTGAAGCCTGTGCTTCTTCACAGATTTTGAACCAGAATCCCTCATTTGAAAATTTGAAACCAAATCCCTCATTAAATTGATCTTCTAGAAAAGGACAGAAAACAGGATTTGATTTGTGAATTCTGTAACATTACTCCCCACTTGAGCATCACATCTCAGCTAGGTGCCTGGGGGGACAGTGGCGTTTAAGCAGAGCCGTGCTGAGAAAGAGTTGAGGACCTGAGCAACTCGGTTCTCTCCCTTCCGCCCTGGTTCTCACTGCCTCACTCCATCCAGGACTCAAACGCCAGCTCTTCTCCTCTCTTCCTAAGGGAGGGATCAGATGTGGTAGAAAAAGTCAGAGAACTTGGGTTTTAATCTAACTCTTATAAACTGCACGACTTTGGGCAAGTCATATAATCTTTTTTCCAAGCCTTAATTCTCAAACCCTGTGAGATTGGGGTGTCAATAATTCCTCTTTGGCCCACTTCAAGGGGTTGCTGTGAGATGGAATCTGACAGCTAGTACTGTTGTAATACTATGCAAATGTAAATCACTGCTATGCAAAAGTAAGTTACTACTATTTCTAGAACCTCCTCTTTGAATTTAATTTATTCAAGAGTGAGAACATAAGTTACTTGTTCTATGTTCTGGATGCGCCTGTATTTAAACCTCATCAGTTATCCTGGACTTTGCCTTAACTAAAGGAATTTTTGGCAACAGCAAAAGAAAGAGTTATTTCTTTGGGGCATTCCTGGCTAGTGAGGTAAATGGTAGTTACTTGGCTAAAGTGGTGTGCAAGAGGGAAAAAGTTCACCGCCAAGTGTTGGCGAGTCCCTTTCTGAGCTTCAGTGACTTAGAAGCCTGGTTGTGACTACGAGAGGCAGCTTTGCGAGAAAGAAGTGGAGGGCATAGAGTGGTAAGGAAAGATGTGAGATTCAACTACATTGGCCCCTTAACCACTCCCAACCCTCACTCCAGGGCAAAGAAGGGGGTCACCCCTCCCTTTCATTCATCTACATACATTCTATAAAAATCGAAGCACCCACCATGAGCCAGGGTTATGCTGGGCACTGGGAACATAGACCTGAGGAAGACAAACCTGGTGTTGCCCTCTGCTGCTTGTAGTTTAAGAGGAAGATGAGGTGAAGTAAAGTGACCAGAGAGGAAGTATCAAAGACTGCAGGGGACTTAGAGCCTTAGAGGGAGGGGATGTAACCTAGGCTAGGTGCAGAGGGAGGCCTCTGGGAACCTGAAGGATGAATAGGAGTGGCCAGGCCAGAGGCTGAGGGGACAGTGAGCAGACAGGTCCCAGCATTTGGGAAGGCCATGAGGGGCGAGGAGAACAACAGAAAGAAGTCCAGTTAGGTTTTGGGGCTTTTCCCCCTTCTCTTCGGGGCTGTCCTTAAATGTGACTCCATCTGAATAAAAACGTGGGACACTGTGACCTCTGGGTGACTTTTCCCCAGCCCCATCTTCAGCCCTAGGTCAGGATGGCCTAGGATGGGCAGAAGGATAGAGGAGGGCAGTTTAAAGTCTGACCATAGGCTCAAGATGTTTTTATGCACAGCTGTGAGTCTAGTATGAAATTCCTATGCGTGGTGATTTTCCTCGTGATGTTGGGGTGCATGAAGAGCAAGGCCATGCAAGACGGGGTACAGGAGGATTCAGTTCCTGCCTTCTGTTTGTCTACATTCCCACCCCAACGCTGATGTTATTTTGGAGGCATGGAGGAAGTGGTGGCTTGTTTACAACCCAGATCGGGTTTTGAAGCTAGGAGGAACACCCTGCTCAGTTGCACAATTCAAGTCCTACCCCTGTCCTGGGCGGCCTGGCCTGTGGCTGCTCCCATCTCATGCCCAGGTGGGTGACCTGAAGAGGGCGGGGATGATCAGGGTTGCAAGGTCTCTTTTCATTTCACATACGAAGAAACCAATGCCCACAGAGATGACCAGACAAAATCACACAGCAACTTGGTTGCAAAGCCAGGACTAGATCCAAGTCTCCAATGCCTGCATATGAAACTCCTATCTGGGGCCTTCACAATTTGCACAGTTATTTTATTTTATATACATTACCTCATCTGGTACTCTCAGTAGTCCTGTGCAATAGGTAAGGATCAAGATCCTTATTTTGCAGATGAGAAGTTAAAGCTTGGAGAGGTTATTTGGCCAAGTCCCCAAAGTTAAAAAGTGAACCTTCTGACTCAGAATTCTGTGTGCTTTCCACCATGCCCTGTGGTTAAGAGGCACACTCAGTCTTGGGGTTTGCTGGTATTCCACCTGAGAATGGCTTGGAATGTGGATAATGATTACAGAGGAGGGCTTTCAAGGAGTAAATTAACTATATTTGAGCATTCTTGCCAGTTCTCCAGCAACCAAGTTGCAAATCAAAATCACACTCAGCAAGGAGCTGGCCTGGCTCTATGAATCCTTCCCTGGAAATTGCCATCTGAACCTCCAGCCAGTGGTTTGTGTGGGAAAAGCAGCTCCCTAGCTTCAAATCCACACTTAACGGGACACGTGTCTCTGTTTTCTGCTGGGACTCTGACGATTGCCCCTGTAGAGAAGGTTCTCTACATTAAATATATGTTGAAAAAAACAATAATTGAATCATCTACAGGTGTTCTGACTTTAGCCCTGTTCCTCTCGTTTTCCCTTAGGGGTTAAATGGGGGTAGAGGTGTCTCTGATGCTGGTCTCAGGAGGTCACAGGGTGGTCCACTCCTGGTACAATGATGCTGACGACGTAGCGCTGGTCTAGATGGGGAGTGGGGGCTGGCAGTGGTTCAGGGCTGTCCCAGAGGATAAATGATTTGCTTGGTGGGGAGAACTGGGTGGTTCTGTGATTATGTTGAGATGGATAGAAAGACTTGAGGAGATCTGACTGAGGGAGAAAGCGGGGGTGGGAGGAGGTGGGGACTGCAGAAGCTGAGGCCAGTCCCCAGCAAGTCTTGGCATGGGGTGGGGGAGGCTGGTAGAATGCTGGATTTAGGGAGGTGAGGCGAGGCTGTCCCTCCTTTGGCAGGTTGTCACTGGTGGTGCCGGGTAAGGGAAGGGCACTCTGCTAGCTACGTGGAGAGTACTAGAGACAGCAGGGGTAGAAATCAAGCTACTGTGGTTCGTTGAGGACGAGGAGCATTTTGGGGGAGCTGAACTGACCATTCCGTCCTTGCTCTAAACCAATGGCTTGTATGCAAGGATAGAAGTACTATTTTCTTCAGCCATGCTCCCTGTGTCTTTAGTCTTATCAAACACCAGGATCTAAGTCCAGAGCACAGGGAAACAGAAACTGAAATAGAGGAGGCCACAGTGGATAGGCCTTGGCTGCTCCCACAAACCTGCAAAAGAAATATTTACCCTGGGTGTACCTCAGCAGTTCGAAGTGCAGAAGTTTTATCCCCTTGTGGTTTAAAGAGGGTCTGGATCTTCAAGCTGAATTTAGGGTTAAAGTGTGTCTTCTCCACTCTTTGGGTGTCTGCCCCCGCTGACCCCAGCGGCTAGCTTTATACTCTTGGGTAAGGGACTTGTAGCAGTGTTAGCTGCGGGCTGAAGGGACTAGTATATATGTCCATTCTGCGGCTGTGGTAGGGTGGCTCAGCGCTTGGTCACCCCGGAGGGGTCACCAGCAAGCCACCATGCTGGGGCCCTGTGTCAGGCACAGATATTTGTATGTGCAAGCAACCATTGTGTAACTTCGTGACTATCCAGGTGTGGCAAGTCCCTTGTCAATTGGACCCTTGCTTTTACTGCCTCTGTGCCGGGTGTGTGTTTACCGTGCTTGGGGCAGGGGCAGTTTAGCTCGATCAAGGGTAGTTGTTGGCGGCGGCCACTTCAAACGCGTGTTGGTGCCCAGAGTAGTTGCAACTATGGAGTTTCACAATGGGGGCGGGTTCATCTGGACTCGAATTTGGTCGCTGTGCTCTCGGCTCTCACTCAGAGGTGGGGATGCGGCCAGGGGCGGGGGTGGTGGTCGTTTGGGGGGACAGGGGGCTGTGCAGTCAGGAAAGGAGACTGGCCACGGTTTAGGACGCGCTCGGCAGGACCCATCAGAGGCAACAACTAAGTCCAGCGAAGACGAGCGGCTGAGCCCCACGCAACTCTCGATCGCTGCAGGGTGGCCGACGAGGTGTGCCCGCCGGCGCGGAAGGGGACGCACCCTCGCGGGCGCTGGCTGCCTTGACTTCCCCATCCCTGGGCGGGGGAGGGGCCACAGTCGCCGCCGAGGCCGCCGAGCGCGGAAAGTGCGCGAAGGGGACGCGGCTGCGAGCCTCACACGTGACGGCGCCGCGCCGAGCCGAGCGGGACCCGGCGGCGGCGGTGGTGGCG